ACTAGCACATATAGACGATCGGCGGGCTATGGAGCCGCCGATCGTCTATATGTGAAACACCCGGTAACGGGTGTTTGCATTGGTCGGGTCTTCTCTGCCAGTGCGTGCCCGCTAGGGGGCGCGCGCGAGCAGAAAAAAAATGCTGTCTGGAGACGGCAACACGCCAATGCTGCAGTGCCGTCCGTTTTTTTACAACGGGCGGACACAGAGTGGTTAAAGATCAACCACAAGATGCTGCAAAAAGGAATTGTGGGCAATAATAAAAACCATACAAAGTATTTTATGCAATTTTACTGCAATTGCAACAATATACTGACAATTTATATAGAATGTAAAATATATACAGTACATACAATAAGAGGACACACATTCAGCATGAGAAATGTAGCACAGCAGCACAAAATGTTAAATACTGTATGCTCATGACTATAGAACAATTATAAATGAAGAACCGATTCAATTCCCTCAGCATATGGATGTGCTTCTACATTCAGAAGCAAGACTTCAAATATCCACGCTCTTCAAAGTTCATAATCCAAATTACAAAAAAAATTACATTGTCTGAAGCTGATAAACTCTGGGTCCCTTTTTTAATAGGTAGCCTTGATCGTTTAGTGAGCTCACAAAACTTTCAAAGTCAGAGACCTGTAACAAAAAGAAGAGATAACCGTTATTTAGAATGCTTCCATTGCTGGAGTGTTTCATCCTTGTTCTCTCGGAATACACTTACGGAGGAAAGTTTTTACTGCATTTTTCCTCTCTCCCTCCCACAAACAGAGATAACATGGGAAGCAGCAGTGAGGGCCTCCCTGTGATGTCTGCATGAGGTAAGACATTTATATTGATTACAACAAAAATCTGCGCTCTTGGAAAAAGAACTAAAATAATCAAATAGTGGTCCTAAAGCTGCTATGAGAGGTGTGGATGTGAAAATATGAAGTGTAGTCACAGCGCTAAAGGTTTTTTATGTAATTATTTGATTGCTTAATTAGTAGGGGTATATCTGAACTAGGTTGGATACCTAGGGAAGATCTGTTAACCTTTAGAAAACGTCAAGTGACGAAACGCGTCAAGGGGCAGATCTTTCCTACACGAGTTGTTCGTAGTTGTAGGTCAGGCCGGCCGGCAAAACTATTTTAAATTTTCCATGTGAACTGTTCGTTTTAAAATAAAAATCATCTCGTTTAATTCTACTGCACTATGGAGGCTGTTTTTTCTCTTTAATCCCTTTGATCTACCACCGGGACTGGGAGATTATTACATCGGCAACTGGTGAACTGAGGGAGTCGGTATTTGACTGGATTCGCTGTAACACGACAGGCATTGAAAGGAGTTTGCTGTCCATATACCATCTACAACTGGCGAGGGGAAGGAGCCGGGATCTTACCGGGCTCGCTGTGCCGCGACGGGTAAGGATACCGTATGCTTGATTGGTGCATATACCTCATTGGTCTCACTGCTATTTTGCACTGTTTCACATATTTATGTATTTATTGTATGGGATGTACGATTCATTTTTTAGTTCACCCTTATATACTAGATTTTACAGTTTTTACATTGTGTTACTTTGTTACAATTTTTATTCACCTATTGAGTGGGGAATCCAGTCTTTATTTTGAATGTTTGCACATTAGCACTTTTCACAATTTATGGACACCTGTTTTCTGGTACTCCATACTCACAGGGGTAGGGCTCTTTGAAGACTTATTCACAGGGTTGTTAATTCAGGGTGTTTCATATACATTCACAAAATATATTTTTTTACATTTATCAAGACATTTATATTGTCTCGTAAGAAAAAAAAACCTGGTTTCCCATTAACAATTTAAATATACAAAATTCTCTCTCTCTCGATAAGATGACACACAACGGGATGTTTAGGATAAATACCCTGACTTATAGAAAGAGATACACACATTAATAAAGTTAAGAAATTCTGGCCCAAAGCACATTATGAAACATTATTCTTTTTTATTTCCAATATATACACATTGAGCCTTTACCTAGGCTTTCTTTGAAGATGTGCCAATCTGATTGTCAGTGGCCAGACTTTTGTATATAGTAGTTATTCAGCGTTGGCACTATTAATTATTATTCAAATTCCCCCCCCATTATGTCCATTTGTTTTACCTGTATCTGCAATTCCTTGGCAATCTGCCGAAGCTGTTGATAATCAAACAGGTTATTGTAAGTCCGTTCTGCAATTCTGTTAAGAGCAGAAACAAATTTCTTTGCTTGAGATCGATTACTCATTCCTGAGCCATGCTGAGATCTATTGAAATCCAGTTTTCCAAACTCATCCGAGTATGTCCCAAGCAGGCTAGATAAAATGGGAGAAAACAATTGATGAGCCTCACTCACTAGAGATAAACATGCAATTAAGGAGAATGTAGAGTACTTTTATATAGATTACCTTTATTTATTCAAGTATGAAAAAAAAAAAAGGTTTTCTTTTTTTTAGTCAGGTAAATATACAATGTTGCATTTTAGGCTTCTTTTCACATTTTCTGGACTATCTTATATACTTTCCTGAAAAAAAAGGCTATTGTGTAGTTCTGTGAGCAGCCTTCCCTTTCCCTCCTGTTTTCTTAAGAGGACTACTGTAGGAGGTTTCAATCAGAGAGAAGCGTCTAAAAGAAAACAGCTTGTGTTGTGCTCTCTTTAGAAAACCCCTAATGCTCTGTGACTCCTATGTCATGGCTGTGACCTGTATTACATTTTTATTTGGAAAACAAAGATTTCTTTTTATATACGTTAGTAACATACATAAAACATGAGCTTATAAATAACAAACATAAAAAATAAACTGACAAAAAAACACAAAAATAAAACATTAGCAGCTAGACATAAAATTGAATGAAAAAAAAAATGTAAACAGTAAAGTAAAGAAGGACATATGGAAACTGGAATTGCAGAACTGTATTTCTAAAGGGTAACCTACCTGTATTTCATTATTTGCACAACATCTTCAGCATCATCTTTTATAGCGTCTTCCCTCAGCTCCAGTCTGGCTCGAGCCTAGTAACAGAAAAAAAAACAAAGTAACATGAAACTTGGATATCCAATAAAAGCAATCTGCATAGTCACGGTCCATGAACTCTTTTACAGGCAGATAAAAAGTAAAAACATTCAGAGCCATGCTACATAATGAATACAATACAACAGACTCAGTTCATAAGATTCTTCCAGCTCCCGCTGCACATATCTGTGTGATCCCCCACCAACCGATGTACGGTCACCGCCTTCCAGTTAGTAATGAGCATAATTCTTGCACATGGTGAGTGCTCATTGGTCAGTGTGATTATGTGACCATGCTGACCAATGAGTACTTGCCATTTGAAAGCATTATGTACATTACATACTGCAGGGCTGTGAAGTTGAGTGTACGGACCATACACCAGCTGGAGGGGGGGAAAATCACACAGCTATGTGCAGCGGGGACTGGGAGAGGTGGCGGAGTGGTGTTAGTAAGTTCTTTTTATCACATTTTGTGAGAAAGTGAACTTACCCTTTAACTATCTCCCTCTTTTTCAATTAAAGTGGAACTCACTTTCCTTTTAGTGATGCAACAGTTCCAAACTCCCTTGCTGGTGCCATCATCTTAAAAGGCCGGTCCAGGTTGACATAACTCCCGCACATCCACACAAGAGTTAATTCATCCCAGCCGAAGTAAAAAATGTGGATTCTCAAGAGTTTGCAAGTTTTAAATGTAACATTTAATTGCATTTTTTTTTTTTTCAAAGGTGAAGTTTGAAGGATCTTTATCTTGGTATGTTAGCGCTGTGATTTGAGTATAATGTGTTTCTAGAGCAGGCATTGTATTAGCTTTCTCCCATGCAAGGGATGTCCTGGGAAGAGTAAACTGGGAACGATCTCTCCTCTACAGAAGAGTCCAGCCATAAAATTGGTAAACCTTTGTAATTAGTATACATTAACCATATTCCAGATTTCAACAGATCGAAGATTTACATAATTGCTTTTGGTTCTACTTTATATTTAATTTGCTACACTTGCATTTGATATGTAAACTACTGATAATGCAGGACAAACATTAAAACTGCAACATTCACTACAGTTATTTACTGAAAAAACAGAGTAATTAATAACGAATAAGGATTTCGATTAAAGTGACACTAAACTCAGGAATTACATCTGAAAAATGCTTTCAAATACCTGAACTATTAACAAAAATGTATCTTATTTGTGTGTCACTCAGCAGTAGATCTTAAAATCATCTCTGAATTGGTGCGGACACTGTCCTTCCTTCTGGAGGGTGGCTACTTTTGTTCACCATGGTCCCTGTGCATGTTGTAAAGTAGCCACCACTCCAAGCTCACTTCAGAAAGCAGTTCTGTGTTTTGAACATAAATACTTTTTATTATATGTTGTTCTTTACCTCTGTTAGTCGGATTAATGACTCGAGTTGTCTGGTTGTAATAGGAGTGCTGTCAATGCCTTGATTCTGTTTTCTAAGCTCCAGGTAGAAATCTTGAAGGACGTGAGCTGCATCTGGGGACAGCTTTGGATGTACATACTGTCGGGCATAACCAATGTATTTCCTTAATAGCTGATGTGGGATAGGATCAAAATGTTCACCTGGCCGAACCTAGATTAAGTAGAAACAGTGTGAACAGGCAGGCAGAAGGCAAGTATAGACACACAAGGATAATCAAGAGCAAAGCATCAATATTCTTTTCTAGCAAGTGATTTTGTTGTTTAAAATAAAGGTTCCAGCATTAATTCTACACTGTTTTAGGAAGAAAATGCTAATGCTATGGCGGAGGCAGTGTTATCATTGTGTCTGTGGCCGACAATGCTTCTAGAGTGCCAGCTGCACATGCAATGATATCATTTATTCATAGGAATGTGGAGACACATTAGGAGACCAAGAACAGAAATGTAACTGCGCTGCATTACCATTTCTGGCCCTTGACAGGAAGTAAGGCATTATCACAAGCACTGGCAGCATCAACAGGTAGAAACTTGGAAAATAATATTGTAAACAATTAGATAAGGAAAGGAGGATGTAATTGTGGAATGATTATTGATTTTGAGTTGAGTTAGGCTTTTTCACACCATATAAGTATTATATATAAAAAACAAAATAGAAATCTATGACTATGTGTGAAATGCATCAGCAGAGCGAATTGAGTGCAGATTGTTTCATCTCTGTGATTGATAATGTGCCAGTGGTTTGCATTGCTTGCTGCTGGAGTTGCTAGAGACATAGAGATATAGAAACCTACTGCAATTTTTCATGTGCCAAAAGGTAACATCCTCCAAGCACTGAAAATGCACTGCTGGGTGGATTCTAGAATGATAAAACACAACACAGATTTTTTTTTTTTCTATGGCTCTAGCTCTAAGATCCTTCACATTGGAATTGTGAATTTAATGGAGACTGATGTAGCACAAGACCATATCTAAGTATTCCATTACACAAACGTACAGTATATGCTTAGAGGAACCCGGTACAGGCAGTCCCCGAGTTACATACGACTCCCACTTACAAACGGAGGCGATTACTGTACAGCAGGGGTAGTTGTAATGCTACCGCGCTCGTGCCGACAAGGAGTGCCCGCCTTCTTGGGTCTGGTTCGTAGTGCTCTACGATCATTACAGGAAGTTGGCTCTTGTTAGACGTGCAGACAGTGACCCGCCTCTTTTTCCGGGTCACTGTGAGGTTTTTACTGCTGTCTGTATCCTCATTAAAAAAATTGAATCTCACTTCCTGTCCTTGAGACAACAAGAAGTGAGAGGAAATCTACCCCTAGGAAGGGAAATTAACTCCTGTAAGAGTTTTTACACTGAAGCTAAACCCAACATTTTCAAAATCCAATTGTCACAGGGACAGAAAGTGAGGTGAAATCTTCTAAACAGGGGCACACACAGCAAAACAAACGTTACAGGGAGAACTATGCTATCCAAAACTAAAAAAAACATTTAAAAATGTACCTGTTCCAACGTACATACAAATTCAACTTGAGAACAAACATACAGTCCCTATCTTGTTCGTAAATCGGGGACTGCCTGTATTTGTCACTTTTCACCTTTACTTATGTGAAATGGAATTGTATTATAAGAACCTCTGAAAATGCCCACAGCTTGGGTATTCAACCAGTGCCCAAAAAGAAACAAATGTTTACCTCAGGCAACATATCTAATTAGAAACAAATGTTTACCTCAGTCAACAGATCTCATTGGACTATCAGTGGTAAGAAAGTTCCTGGCCAGAACTCTGTCATCATGTTAGACTTTAAAAACAGGGTACAAACAATGCAAATACCTTTAATCTCTCTTTTAAAGGCTTCTCGGAAAGCATCTCCAGCACAGAGGTACTGGAATCCTGAGACTCTGTGCGGGTTACAGTTGCACCACGTAAAAGCTCCTTTGACCCTGCCCTCATGGCCATCACATGTTCTGAAAGTAAATGATCATGATCTACGTTTGGGGTATCCAGCAGGATGAACACCAGGTCAAATCTCGACAATAAAGCACTTCCCATTCTGCAGAAAGAAAGAGTGGATATTGTTTTATTTCTTTTTATTAATATACAAAGTGAATCACTAAACATAATAACTTAAAGGAGTAGTCTCCAATAATCAGCAGAGTTAAATATTATTTTAAGAATATTATTATTATTAAAGTCAAATATTATGCTGTGTGGTTTATACACACTTATGAAGAAAAGCATGTGATACAATGTTCTGATATAGAAAGTAAAATACCCGTTTGTATTATTTTACAGCAACAGCTTAGAATTTTTTGAGATAAATCTTGCAGTACCAGTTATGCTTTTTTTTTTAAATAGAAACCAGTATGTCTCAGTGTCAAGTGACATTTGTTACTGAAAGTGACTGATAGGATTAGGAAACCAAGTGTTTCTCATACCACATGAAAGTCTTCTATTTTTGAGAGCTGTAAGCCTTGGTAAACACTGTAACCCTCAGACTGTGCTTTTTAAGGCTATATTGTACAATCTGACACTAGCCTATAGATGTCACTGTTTCCATATTCAACAATCAACATGAGAACAATGAACGAGCCTAGGTTTGCCAAACATAATGCAAAGTGCTCAAAGGCTTTGTCAGATTCTGAGTCACATTCAAATATACAAGTATGAGTAGACAATGGGTGAATTTAACCCGTATGGTACATTAGGTAGAGGGTAATACTACCACTACAGAAGTCAATGTGGATATTAATTCAAAGACAAGTTCTACGGTTTATAAAAGGATGAGACTTCAAGCCCATTTCCACCTTTGTAAGTGATTTGTGTTTTTTGTGGTAATGTGGAGGTGCAGGGGGGATGTATATGTGTGCAGTCTCATGAGTCACAGGGCTGGTTTTCATACTTTATTTAGTAGACTCTTTCACAGGCCAGAGTCCTAGAAATTAAAAATTCCCTTCATAGGATCTGCAATCCGTCTCTACTGAGGGTCGGGTTGTACAGTATCTGTACACTGCAATCAGCTGATTCCTCTCTGCTCTGCTGAGCTTAGTGTGCTGACCCCTCCTCATGAAGGAGCACACACTCAGCTCTGAGGAGAGAGCAGTGAGGAGAACCTATGAGTCATCATAACATCTCCTCATAGCTCTGTGTGTGATAAAGATCTCCTCATAGCTCTGTGTGTGATGAAGATCTCCTCATACCTCTGTGTGTGATGAAGATCTCCTCATACCTCTGTGTGTGATGAAGATCTCCTCATAGCTTTGTGTGTGATGAAGATCTCCTCATACCTCTGTGTGTGATGAAGATCTCCTCATACCTCTGTGTGTGATGAAGATCTCCTCATACCTCTGTGTGTGATGAAGATCTCCTCATAGCTTTGTGTGTGATGAAGATCTCCTCATACCTCTGTGTGTGATGAAGATCTCCTCATACCTCTGTGTGTGATGACGATCTCCTCATAGCTCTGTGTGTGATGAAGATCTCCTTATAGCTCTGTGTGTGATGAAGATCTCCTTATAGCTCTGTGTGTGATGAAGATCTCCTCATAGCTCTGTGTGTGATGAAGATCTCCTCATAGCTCTGTGTGTGATGAAGATCTCCTCATAGCTCTGTGTGTGATGAAGATCTCCTCATAGCTCTGTGTGTGATGAAGATCTCCTCATAGCTCTGTGTGAGAGGAGATCTCCTGCATTTGTTGTGTCTCTAGACCTTCTCTGTCACTGTGTTCTGTGTGTCTCTCCCAGATCTCTCCCTCTCCAGGGCCAGATTAAGGCCTCAATCACACAGCTAAGAGTCGGCCCGTACAGATCCATGCGGCGTGCACGGCCGTATCGGGCCGTTCCCGGGAAGAACAAGTGCTGCGTGTGATTGTACGCAGCAGCCTGTTCTTCTCTATGGGAGGACTCGACCGTACGCTGCTGTATGCTCACCCAAACTACACCTCCGTGCAGGTGCGGGTGTCCGTACTCGGACGCAGACAGGATGGATCCTGTCTGCATCCAAGCACAGACACTCGCACGGATGTGCAGCTCAGGTGATTGTACGCAGCAGCCTGTTCTGCTCTATGGGAGGACGCGGCCGTACGCTGTCATAGACTCACCCGAACTGCACATCGGTGCGGGTATGGGTGTCTGTACTCATAGGCAGACAGGAAGGATGCATGTTTTGTTGTTTATATGAAAAATTTAAAGAAAACCCTTTTGAGAAAAAAACCACGGTGTTGATAGATGGAACAAAGTACCCCGAATAATGAGGATGTTAAGATCAGTGACTCTAAAGGTAGAGTTCATTTTTCAGTTGTAATTATCTCTGGTGAGAATTCTGTAATTCTTAGTAATTATTGTACGGAGTACACGCAAAAATAGATACAGACAGAAAAAGACTGTCATGGATGGATTCAGACTAACACAAAGACAACCAGGGTGAACTTGTAGATAAAAGTAGACTGTCAGCATTACAAACAGCTACACCCACCTCATATTTAATACAGATTTAGTGGATATTGCAAGTGTACCATTTCATCTTTAGTTGAATACAGAAAGGAGAAAGATCAAAAGGTATCTTGGGATTTATTTCTATATATGTCCCTGTAGGGACATTTCCTCTGTGGAAAATATTAAGACAGCAGCAAGGGGCTGACATGAGGGAGATGTGTCCACACAAACCAGTTCTTAAATGCTAATGCAAACACAGAAGGGATCCAAATGATTGTGACATCTAGAGGAAGGATGTTCAGGTGCTCTCAAGGTGGAAGACGTCCCCACAGTAGTCTATGGGAACTATCTGCGCAAGCACAGCCAGCGGAAAGGAGATTCTGACAAAAGACTTGCAGGGATAGCGGTAAGTATCAGGTTGGGGAAGGGCACCTTACTTTAGCTAAGGGTGGCTAGGCAGGAAGGAACTGTGAAAGTGCTTAGCAATCATTTTAATTTGTCACTGAAATAACACAATGTTAGTTTTGTATAAAAGAGATATTAACAATGTCCTCGTGCTTTTTCTCTTGGCTTATCCTAAGTGTAAATTCAGACTAGTAAATACTCAGAATTTGCAGAGTATCTGTTGAAAAGCACAGAAACCATTGGCTGGTATAGAGTAATGTGCATTTGTGGTAACTGTCAAGGAGAAAGTACAATATTGATACAAAAAAAATCTTTATATAATGTTACTTTCATCTGTAAATCTGGTTACAACAAAACATTGCAAAATACTATATAAAAGTCAATGCCGGAAACCTGTCATAAGAAAAATGATTGGACTTCCATTGCTGACCACCTGAAATGGCTACTTCCCTGGCTGTCATGCCAATTTTATGGCTTCCTCAATCAGGGGTCCTGAATTCCCTAGCCGAATACTTGTTCCAGGTCAGTGATTTGAAGTACTGAACCCAGAGGATCGGCATGCAGCATGGCAAGCGACCAGCAGTTACAGAAGGAGGACAGTGTTGGCAGTCTATGTATTACTTTTGTAATCAATGCCCTGAAAAGAATCCTTCCTTTAATTGTCAGGGTACTTACTTCAAATTTTCAGAGACAGTTTTGCCTTTGTTGTAGTGTCCACCCACTGGGTTAGCAGCAGCAATGATGGATGTCCTGGCAGGTAAGGTGCACACAATCCCAGCCTTGGCAAGACTAATACTCTGTTGTTCCATAGCTTCTAGTAGAGCCTGATGCTGATTACCCATCTTGTCAAACTCATCAATTCCACATATACCTAAATGTTAAATAGTGTAAAAATAATAAAGGAAATGAAATCAGGACGCTTAAAAATTACAATCAATCAATAAATGTTGCTTAAAGTAATCTGATGCTTGCAGTGATCTTCTGTTACATTTTGCTTCTTAAGCAGAGAAGTTGAGTTCTTCATCATTTTTTTTTAAAAGCTAGATAATCTAGGAAAAAATAGGTCAGTCTTTAACACAGTAGAGCTGAAGAAGAGATGTCCATCCTCCTAGAACACTATCAAAAAACTGAAGCATGCTGGTAGTAGGAGGAGCTATCCTGAGGTCGGCCTACAGTTTGTCAGTGTCCAATCCTCTTGTGTGCAGCAGTAAAACCCAAAAGGTTAAAGACTTCCTGTGTCCCTTAAAAGAGAACTATGGGATGAGTGAACTATAGTCATCCCCATAGTTAGAGCCAACATGTAACACTGCAGCTGTCGCACGCCAACTCTATAGATCGAGAACTGAGCGATCGCAAACTGCTGATTGCTCAGTTCACGATCGTCTGCCTGCAGGGAATGGACAAGAAAGAAGCATGTTTAATCCATACAATATGACCAGTGTTCTCAAGAATCCCTGTATAAGGAGGTTGACGTATTTAAAAAGTAAGTTTCAAATTTTGTAACTAGGGTCTTTGTTAAAATCTGCAACCTGTAAAAAGGACAATAGCACTTCTTATACCTTGGTCTCCCAGAACAAGAGCTCCAGCCTCTAAGGCAAAATCTCCAGTTGCACTGTCCCTGGATAAGGTTACTGTCAGTCCAGCTGTTGTCGTCGTGTTTCCACAAACATAGATGCCACGGGGGGCCACATTACAAACTGCCTGCAACAATAAAATACATTTATTTAAAGAGACTCTCATAATATTTGAACCACAAAGGTCTCAATTTGGAAAATAATTCTGCGTAATTGTGTTTATGCATATTTTTGACATAGCTTTTTCACAAGTCAATGCAGGTTCATGTTATCCATACCTGTAACATCTGACTTTTTCCCAGTCCTGGATCTCCAACCACAAGTATGTGAGGATCCCCACGAATGGGAATCCGGTTTTTATCATCCACATATTTCTGACAGCCTCCGAACAGAGCAAGTGATAACCCTGCTTTAACCACCTGTAAAGCAAAAATATAACTAACACCAAGTTTTCGCCATATACTGTAAGCAATTATCATCAAACGTGTTAGCACACAGAGTAAGAAGCGTAAAGTTACTTCTAGCTTGGAGGTGATTTCCTCTAAGTGACAACTCCTTTTTTAAAGTGCTGGTAGTAGGAGGAGGTATCCTGAGGCCGGCCTACAGTTTGTCAGTGTCCAATCCTCCTGTATGCAGCAGTTAAACCCAAAAGGTTGAAGACTTCCTGTGTCCCTTAAAAGAGAACTATGGGATGAGTGAACTATAGTCATCCCCATAGTTAGAGCCAACATGTAACACTGCAGCTGTCGCACGCTGTCGCATCTCTATAGATCGAGAACTGAGCTCAGTTCACGATCTTCTGCCAGCAGAGAGCAGTGACTGTCAGTTCCCGCAGGGATTACCCCCGCTGTCTGGAGGGGCAGATGGGGGAGGGGGTGGGCAGAGCCAGATTTCCTCTGACAACTCCTTTTTTAAAGTGCATGTCTAGCTTTGCCAACCCTAAGGACGATGTAGGAAAAGGAAGCATAATCCTTTTATTTTTAATTTAAAACATTTTAGGTTATCTTAGAAGAGAAATACTATGCCCCAACCTCCTTCCTAGTATAGGAAGACAAGCTGGAGTCTCATCGGTGCAAGAGTAGGTCGTAAATTTAACATTTACAACAAAATACAAACTTTTATAGCTGGAAGACCCGAGCACAGCATCTACTTTCCTAAACTCACTTCCTCATTACCTAATCATGTTTAATAACAGATCATAGTGCAAATCTGTGTATTTGCATCAGGCAAACATACATGCTTGTGCCTGAAGACAGGAAAGGGAGCACTTTAAACGCATATCTAGAATAGTGATCAGCCTAGATAAATACATCCTGGTCTACAGACCTTCTTCTATGTAAGCCTAGCCATTGGACGTCTGCAGTGGTCAAGTAGAGACTGTAGACCTATTAGTATTCCCAGATATCAACATTGATAACTGGATAGAGATAACATGTTTTGATGCCTGTGGGAGGCAAGTTGACAAATTTCCATCTAGTTTAATGAAGATGCAATAAATTGGTTTCATTTCATGTGCACAAATTACCGCTAAACTGGCAAAAACCATTCTTGGCAGACAGACAATCATAACATGAGAAGTTATCAGTTTAAATAACCGCACAGAGTGGATTCCAGGACAGTGAAGTCACTGCCCATCTCTGTAGATGCAACCACATTACATACCATATACAAATCAATACAGGAATGATCTGAATTTTCTCAGAGTCAATAAGTTTACAATTGTCTACATCTGTCTGGTTTAGCTAAAATTGTCATCAAGACATTCCTGGAAATTCCTTTCTTTTAGGCAAGGTTCACACCATTTTCTGGACCAGATCTGGAACACGTTGCATTGCGTTTTGCTGCGTTTGTACCACATTCCGGAGTGGGGGTTTTTTTTTGTTCTACTTTCAACGTTTTTTATTGTTTTACACGTTTTTGAATAGAGATAGTTTGTTACATAAAATAACATGTATAACACAAAAGTAAGGCATATAAACAACAGAATCGAAGCAGTGCTACCCCCTCTAATATCACTGGGCAAAGACCTTAAGGCCCCAACAGCAGTGTGCCATTGCACTAACATAACATTCAGCTTTGTTCCTGGGGGATATGAAATTATTCATCGCATCTTTCAGTTATGTGCATAGCAATGGCTCAGCATAACAATATATGTAATTTCTGTTTGGCTTACGATTTTACACGTCACCAAAGGAGGAGAAAAAATAGGAAAGCACTTAAAGAGAAAGAGGAAAGAATAAGAAGTGAGAAGTAGAAAAGAAAAGAATGTAGGCTCCAGATTCCCGAATTGTAGAAACATTATTGAACCTAAACAGGCCGGTGGTGTTCAATTCGTTTTTTTAGCTTAAAATGGGCTTTCAGGTGTGTTCCCGTGCATTCCAGACCAGAGAAAATGAGACGAGCAGTATTTTTTTTTGTCTGGACTGGAATGGACTCCACTAGTGTGAACAGAGCCAAGAAATACCATAGGGATACATTGGGAGGCTTTTTTGGTCCAGGAACAAACCCGTCTGGTCTGGACATGATCCGGAGTGAACAAGCCCTTATGGTCAGCCTCAGACACACGACCAAATTTAAGCAATAGAGAAAGTATAGTGGCAGAGGGACAATGGAACGCCTCAATGTCGTTACATAGAGGAGTTGCCAAAAAGAATTGAAATCAGGTTGAATTTAAATAAAAAAAATGCCATGCAGAAACATTAACCCTTGGCTTATTTCTTAATATACAAATGATTAAAAAACTTTATTTCTAATGCATTTTCAGCCATACACATCTATGCTATAACGTTTAAATATTCCAGCAGCACATTCCACTGAAAAAAATAATTTGTCCTTGACTGTATCTGACAATAGAGATGTTAGTAAAAAACAAAACAAAAAAAAAAAACACTTAATAATGAACATAAATCGTTATTTTGATTGTACTAGAAAGGCAGGGAACCCCTTTGGAAGAAAAACACACATTGCATTCGGAGTACTTAATATTTACAAAAATACTGCAGCTCACCTCGTGTCCATATATCAAGGGGCAAAGAGAGCTAAAAACAAAACACAAGAGTAATAAAGGTAATTAATAGGACTTGCAACTGTTTATTAATCATGGGTTAAATATTTGATGTAGTCAAAGTTAAAAGGCACTATAGACAAAACTTACTAGTAAATTTGTGTTTCTCTTTATACATTTTTGGATTAAAACTTGTGTCAAAGAGGACTTGGCAGCCAATTTTTTTTTTGAGAAACACAACACACACATGATGGAGTTTTATGATCCATTGATTATACAGATCTATATTTATACTATTATTGGAATGTTGCTCTCCCTAATGAGCAGTAGGATTATGATAACTGTAAAGCATGGATGTTTTAACAAACACAAAGTATGCTGGCCATAGGTTAAAGTGACACTAAACTCAGGAGTTATATCTTAAAAATGCATACCCTAACTATTAACAAAAATTTATTTTATTTGTATATCACTCGGCTGTAGATCCTCAAATCATCGCTGAATTGGTGCTGACACTGTCCTTCCTTCTGGAGGGTGGCTACTTTTGTTCCCCATTACCCCGTGTGTGTTATAAAGTAGTCACCACTCCAACTTCGCTCCTGTAATGGACTACTCATGCTCACGCTTAGTTTACTAATTTGTATTGAGATTGTAGTCCATCACAGGAGCGAGGTTGGAGCGGTGGTTACTTTACAACACACGCAGGGACCATGGGGAACAAAAGTAGCCCCCCTGCAGAAGGAAGGACAGTGTCAGCACCAATTCAGAGATGATTTGAGGATTTATAGCTGAGTGATACACAAATAAAATACATTAGCGTTAATAGTTGAGGTACTTGAATGTATGTTTAAGGTTTATTTTCTGAGTTTAGTGTCACTTGAAGGTAGGTAAAAATATGACAATACCAAACCATATGCCAAATATTTTGAATGGGGAGAAGTATCAAAACAAAAGATTAAAATGTAGTTGTTCTAAGGATTGAACAAGCAAATACAGGTAATGCGCAGTGCACACTGTGGCGCTTCTATAAATTTGTCACTACTGTTTCTCTTTAGATTTGAATGGAAATAATGGATTCTAGTCAACTTTAGCCTCATAGGGAATCCATTATTTTCTATCACGCTAGTAATGAGAGAAAGAATTAACAATGCACAATGTGTAGATGACGTGCTAAGCAGAAAACATGTACCGTATAATGGGCAATTATCTGTAAAGCATTGAACTCCCTCCACCAACTTCTCACTCAGTGTTTATAATTGCCAGATGCTGCACATAGTTTAAAGGGGTGGGCAGTGCACTCGTAGAGGAAGGAGAAACCTGTGTCCGTCTAGGTCAGTAATGGTGAACCTTTTTTAGCCCAAGTGCCCAAACTGGATCACTAAACCTACTCAAAGTGCCAACCCTGCAATTGCAACCTCTGCAGGCTCTTAGGTGGTCTATACAGGCTCTCAGGGGGCAGGCTGTGCGGCTCCCAAGTGGTTTATAAGGGCTATTAGATGGTCTATGTGGTCTGTATGGGTTCTCTGGGGGGCTGTGTGGCTCTTAGGGATGCTGTGCTACTCTCAGGTGGGCTGTGGGAGCTATTAGGTGCTCAGTACGTGCTCTCAGGTGGTCTATAACGGCGAAAAGGCCCCAGCGAGCGGCCTCTAATATGCCGTTAAGAGGGCCGCCGTCGCCTGATTGGGGCAGCCCGGATCGCATACAGAGGCGATCCGGGACGGTCAGGCATATCTTCAGGAGTGCCCATATGTTAAAGCAAACCAAGGCTCGCTTACCAGCAGAGAGGGCCACACGTGCCCTCTCTGGCACGCGTGCCATAGCTTCGCCACCACTGGTCTAGGTCATAGAGTATAATGGCAAGCCTGACAGACCCTGACACTCATCTTCCCCTTACCTTGTGCCTAATGAGAGCTTACAAATGCCAAGGGGTAAAAACACTGCCCCAGACCCGTGCAGGTCTGGCAAATGAAACAGAGTTTTTCATAACTGCATTCACCAAACTTCAACTTCCTATTGAAAATTACATTTTTGCGTGTGTATTACAGGGGAAAGATCACATATAGAGCGCCCATCAAACGTTAACTGACTGTTTTTTTTAGGTTTCTGGTTTTCTTTGAATTCATAATATAAAAAACATGAGTTGATTACCTGATAACTCTGTTTCCAGGAATCTTCCAGGACAGCCATCGAGATATAGGCTTGGGGGGGGCCACCATCTGGCGCCAACTCACGTGCAGGAGGATGGTTGCCTTCCCTGAGTGATGGAAGGGAACCTTGGCCAAGAATCGGATGGGGGTCCGATAGGGAAGCCCTGCATGCGCTGCAGCAGGTAATCCTGGAGTAGGTCCCAACGCATAGCAGGGTAGGCTCAGCCCTAAGGCAAACAAACATGAGCCCTAAAAACAACAAACATTACGATGTCCCTGTGTAGCCGGCGGAAACACAAAAAAACTGACTTGGGATGGAAGGAGGAGTCTATTTATTTAATGTGGTTGATGTGTTTCCTGTTGCAGGCAGGCGGAGCCTATATCTCGATGGCTGTCCTGGAAGATGACTGGGGAAAGCCCATTTCAAAGTTTCGTCAGTAAATGCCAGGAAGTTAAAATGGACCTGTTATAAAGAAAAGTCAGAAGGTTAATGCCACCAGACACAATTCTGCTTAGTAAAGTAAATGCCTAGTGATTTATTTCATGGACACATAAATCATTAATGTCAGCTCACAAGAAGGAGCCGTAATGGCAGCAATATACAGTTTATACTCACTTGACTATTAATTTAAGGAGACTCTCCTGTGCCTGAATCTCTTGAATAGCGTACAGGTCCTTCAGGCAAAAGTCCATAGCTGCCCCATGCCTGGTGCTTCCCTCGGTGTCTTTAGCTTTCTGACCTTTGCTGTTACTAACTGAATTTGCCTCGATGTACAACAGGAACATGCACTTATTGGTTTTATTTTTAAACCCTCCTACACAAAAGGAAATATAACCAAATGTGCAATTAAAATTATTTAGTGACTGCATTACCTTAAACGTAGGGCTGGTAATGATTAAAATTTTTGTGTTCGATTAATCGAATTTTTTTTTTAAATCGATTAATTGATTAATTTCGATTAATTATAATGCACATACAGATCCAACTACATTGGCCTATACACATACAGCACAGCAATGAAGTAATAAAATTAACTAGGATCACACTAATCCAGCACATTATTAATCTCACGTGGGGCAACTCAGAATAATAACGTGCTGGATTAGTGTGATCCTAGTTCATTGTATGACTTCATTGCTGTGCTGTATGTGTATAGGCCAATGCCTTGGCTGGCGCTCGTGCAGAGTTTCAAAAAAAATTTAATTGATCAAAAAAATTTTCATCGATCAAAAAGATTAACGATTAAATCGAGAAATTAATCGTTAATTTGCACAGCCCTACTTAAAAGTAAAATAAAACTCTCAACCTTCTATCAATAATGAATTCAGATGAAACAAATGTACATTGCCCAGCAAAGTATTTCTTTACATTTCTGCCCAAACACTTTCAGAAGTTTTTTCTGCTAAGAAGTTTTTTCACTGTGGACAAAGTCATATATTGTGGAATCCATTGCAAATGTTCACTCTTTTCGTTGTCATATGATTTATTAGGTTGATTCAGTTAAGGGAGTAGCATTTTTACAGCATGGTGTGAGTTAAAATAAAAGCAGTTATCGCAGCATTAAAACTGCAGCTACTTATAGTCATTATGTGTTTAGTTATCCACTATAGGAGCGCGGATTTGCATGCTTATAATTCCCTGAAAGTCCCATCCAGTATAAAATCACTAGAGACAGAGCAGTCTCCAGCCACTGTTCATCTATTCGCTTGGAGAAGGGAGGAGTGGGGAGAAGGGAGGAGTGCAGTCACCCGTCTTGTTGTGTCTGTGTGTTTGTGGAGACAAGCACAGATTACTAGCATACACAAGGGTGCCTCCATAAGACCCTGCAAGGTAAAGGAGCAACCCTAATATGGGATATCAGGGCCAGTGCTCGGGGACCAGCTGATTCTACAGGAAACTAAAAAACTTTTAAACATTAAAGAGCAGATCCATTGTAAGGGATTTAATTTGCATTTGAAATAGCTTAAAATCTTTTTGACTTTAATAGTTAATACTTAAAATGAGGTCATCTACCTCCAGATTTATCCAACTCCACTACTCCCCACAATATTATTTCCACTATATTATTTCTACCAAACTTTTTTTACTGAAAGTTATTAAACTGCCACCATGATTTAAGTATCCTCTTAAAGAACCCTAGGAGACATTTTTTTATGCAAATGATTTAATCAGGTTTACTTGAAGGAGGTTCTTTCTTTCAATCTTTCTTTTCTTCATCTTTTTCTTTCTCTCGGTATGGAAACTCCGTTTCATATAGAAACTATGTAAACATACATACACAATGCTAATTTAGACTCACACTACACCCAGCGGTGATCTCACATAACCCAGGAGATGGCCGTTATGAGTAACTAAAACAAATTGAATATATACATACTGGACACCTGAGCTAGACTCAGATGATAGGACCCAGACTAGGAGTGTGGCAGGATAATTGACGACAACCATTACATACACGCCCTACTCCTTCTATCCAACAGGGAGACTCAATAGGATTACATTAATATCCAGCCGGGCCTTCTCCCAACATACCTCATCTTTGATAAAGCATCCCAGTGAGGTTGGCTGGACGACTGGATGCCATCTCTCCTTATGTAGCCCTGAGGTCCCAGGTGTGACAAAAAGGAGATCGTGGAGGTGGGGCCATCCAGCTTCCGCTTTCTCGATCCTCCAGGTGTCTCCCTTACCTCGCAAACTAACCCTGCATGGTGACTATTCAATGACCAGATCCATGGAGATTGACTGTATGTAACAATTTGTTCAAAACAGACCATATATATAAACCTGACATTGCCTAATTATAGATGTCTGTGATCTCAACCTAATGTATGTCTACACAAAGAAATGTCTTTACTGTTAGATCCATCTCTTTTGGGTCACCTGATGAAGCCACTGGCGAAACGCGTCGGGACCTATTAAGTTAAGCCACTATATGGGCAAATTACATTGTTGTTAACTTTGTGATCGTTATCATGTTATTTTTGAATACTTGGATTATATCAATATGTATGTACTAAATCAGTGATCATATTTATACAAACAAATCCCATGCAGGGTTTTGATAGATATATGAAATGCATCGATTTTTAATCTTATACAAGCTATAAAATTTGATATATTTTAAGCAAATCTCTCTTGGATGGTCAATTACACCCCTCCAGAAACCCTATTACCTTCTACCCTTTTTCCTCTGATAAACAATACTTTCTGTAAAAAAAGGTTGTCACATACCATCTTTTACATTAGACACTTTAACCACCCCTGCGATGGTCACCATATCTCCAGGAACACAGCTGTCTGCCAAATCCTGAATCAGTTCACATTCAACTGTCCTTGGTATTCTCCCGGCTTCCCTCTGATCATCTGACATCAGCTGCTCCTGGACCCTGTAACAGCAAACAGCTTAATCTAGCAAATGATAAGAATTGGGAATGCACCGATACAGAGTATTTTGGTGAGTACTTGTACTCGCCCCAATGCTCCGATACCTTCCCCAATACCGGAACTTCCGATCAGAGGAAGATTTCCACTGACCGGCAGTGCCATAGGGGAACATGGAGCCAACTTCCCGTGTGATCAGGAAGCTGGGGGGCAAGTATTCAGCATCGAGCCGTCCAAACAGCCGTCTCCATGCTGATTGGCTGGAATGCCGGCTTCCCGGCCAATCAGCATCGAGCCAGCTTCCCGCCCATTCTGGAAGCTGGGTCATTACTCGAAGCCTGGCTTCCTGATTGGCCGGGAAGCCGGCTCCATGCTGATTGTGCTTGGCCGGGAAACCAGCTTCCCAGCCAATCAAACCGGCCAGACAACAAGGAGCTGGCTTCTCGGGCAATCAGATTGCCAGCAGAAGCACTGGTATTGGTACTTGGTATCGACGAGTACTGAAAGCAAAGTATCGGTACTCCTACTCGATACCGAAAAACCGGTATCGGTGCATTCCTAATAAGAATGTTTTGATAATAAAATATCAATGACACAAAACTCCTAGAGTAAAAGAAGTTTAATAATTTTTTTCCAGAGTACTTGCTAGGATAATAAACAATATAAATGCATACAGTTGATATACATGGCACACAGAGGAAGGAGAAGAGAAAAAGAAGCTAATGTCCTTTCTTATAAGGCCCCAGGCACATGGGTCTTTTTTTGTCCCGGGACAAGCACCTCCCCCAATCCGCAGATAATCATACCATGCTTCTTTGTGAAATGCTAAACATTGATTGAGCTTTACTTTTTTTTGTTACCTGAACTCAAAAGGGGAAGATTGCAATGTTATAGGGTACATCTAGAGGTGGTAATTGTGCCTAAGTAGCACCATGAAATATGTACATTTTATCTGGAATTCCGCCAAAAAAATAGCAGTGCACTTTCTACTATGCGAGGGTGCCTAGGCACTCCTGTGCCTCATAACCGTATATCTGCAGTGTGAAATCTAAGGCACTGCTGGCTCTGACTGGTACCAGATATGAAGTGAGGTTTGGTGATGTCACTGCTGTGCTGCTCAATGTTATCCTTGCTTGAAGAAGCAAAGCCCTGCCTCTACCAAAATGGCTGCTTCAGACAGTGCAGAACAAGACATTGTAAGTCAATAATGGGGGAAAGATCAGCTTTCACTAAACTCTACTTAATTTCTAGGTGGCATACCCTCCCACTAACTTTATAGCAGCATTGATTCAGCAAGGATGTCCCCCCATGCATGATACAGATAATTTCAGCGCATGCTGAAGCGCACTGTGCGCAGAAGTCGCCAACTGTCTGCAGAGTCAATAGCTACAGACCTCCAAACTTCGTGTGGCCTTCAGATTGGCACAACAACAGTGCGTAGAGAGCTTCATGGAATGGGTTTCCATGACCGAGCAGCTGCATCCAAGCCTTACATCACCAAGTGCAATGCAAAGCGTCGGAGGCGGTGGTGTAAAGCAGGCCGCCACTGGCCTTTAGAGAGGTGGAGACATATTCTTTGGCGTGACGGATCACACTTCTCTGTCTGGCAATCCGATGGGCGTGTCTGGGTTTGGCGGTTGCCTGGAGAACGGTACTTGCCTGACTGCATTTTGCCAAGTGCAAAGTTTGGTGGAGGGGAGATTTTGGTGTGGGGTTGTTTTTCAGGGGTTGGGCTTGGCCCCTTAGTTCCAGTGAAAGGAACACTTAAGGCATTAGCATACCAAGACATTTTGGACATTTTCATGCTATTCTCGTGGAGTCATCTCGTGGCCCAACGAAGTACTGATGGGGTGGTCATAACACACACACACACACACACACACACCTACCTCACATTTTTTTTACACAGATATGTCTTTTTTTTGTCCCTATTTAAAACACGTTTCATAACCTTGAGTAAAAGTACAATCTTGTTTTACAACTTTTACGGAAACAAAATCTAAAAAGCAAATATACAAGGCCACTGTACTAATATATACACATCCTGTGCTGCATTTTCATCAGTGAATAGAACAAACACCTGGATGATTCATCTGAAGCAGCAGAGAGGAAACCATGAACCCCCTGCTCGGGTTCTACAATAATTGTATTATCACCAATTCTTTCATATGGAAATATTGGCTGATATTTATAGCGGCTTCTTCGGTCACAAAAGTAGATACGTCTTGAATATAAGCGAAGCTCCGGTATAGAGCTCAAGCAGTAAAACACAGGCATGATGACTAATAGCTGTATTGTTCCAGTGCTTGCATAGCAAACACTTTGATCTTCAGCAGCTTTCATACAGAACAAGCATGTAGAAAAACACAAAACAAAGGTTGAACAGATAAGGACACCGATTTATACCTGGCTGCAGACAAACTTTGTTTGAAAACACGTGCTCTACTTACTTGATGGTCTGCCAGTCCACAGTCACTGTCAGTGGAGAACCTCGGTCTGGTGTGAATGAACGCCCACGGCATTCTGGAACAGGACACTGAAACACAAATGAGCTGATGTTAAAAAGGTAGCGTTACTTTACCTATAGATTTGTCTGATCCCTCTTTGGACCTATTAAAGTATATCTAAAAAGGAAAAACTTTAATCTTTTGTTTAGATTTAGAGTGGTGGGGGGGCTAGAACCTCTGTCAGGTGTTATTGACCTATGTGTCCTTGTTCAGGATATTCTCTAAGGGCCCATTCACACATATTGCAGTGACCTGAGTTGTACTGCACCGGATCAACGCAAGGCACCAAAAGGACACAATGCCACCACAACGCAGGAGTGGCTGTGCATTGCAATAAAATGCAAACATGCTGCATTTTATGGCGGATGCCACCGCAGGTCACCACATCACAGCGCAGGGAGCTGTCATAAAAGGACTTATATGGAGTGTACACTCCACATGAAGGCATAATAAAAAAATATGTATGTATGTATGTATGTATGTATGTATGTATGTATGTATGTATGTATGTATATGTTTACACTTGGTAACTGTTGAGCCTCGTTGACTTCTCCAACTAGAGCTAAAAGGAACCCTTCCAGTTAAACCTTACCAATTGCTGTCCCACCATCCAATGAGTGTACAGTGACTGTCTGCTAAGCCACCACAGTACCTATATCTCTGTCTTATGAGGGCTAGTTCTCACCAGCCACAGTGCGTTCCGGCCCAATTGTTGCCAGAATGCACTCAATAGCATTCTGGCCAGCTCACATTTTGTTTTGGGGCTAGAGGGGGCATGGCGGTGTATTGAACTCAATGACACTGCAGCTACGCCCTCCAGCTGCAATGCGATCGCCGGCACCCAAACACGTGGCACATCAGTGCCTGTGTTCCGGTCCAGTGCAGTCAGAAAAAATGCTGCATGCACAATTTTTTCTGACTGCACCGGAACACAGGATTTGATGTGCCACGTGTTTGGGTGCCGGCGATCGCATTGCGGCCGGAGGGTGTGGCTGCGGTGCCACAGAGTCCAATACACAGTAGCGCCCCCTCCACCCACAAATCAAAGTGAGCCAGCCGGAATGCGATCCAGTGCATTCCGGCACCAATCGGGCTGGAATGCACTGTGGCTGGTGTGAACTTGCCCTCAAAAGGTACAAAGTTTGGAAATAAATAAAAGCATGAATTTAAAGGACTAATCAAGATGACAGCTACCTTCTAAATGTGAAAGTCATATGCTGACAAAATAAAAAGAACTGGGACTAAACCGCTGCTTTATATCTAGAAGCTTACCGTACATCTATATATTTTCATTGGCTGCTCCAGCTATACTCATTTCCAAATAATTATAGGGCAAACCAAGCCACAAGAAGGGTCTGTGATATGAACTAATATGCAAGAATGGGGCTGCTTACAAGCAATGTACATTGCCAAGCTTATTCTACTCATTAACCAGAATTTGAAAAGCTTATACCTGTCCCTTGAACATAAAAGCTATTACCTTTGTTGGAAGCGTATATTTCCCATCAGGAAAAGGAAAGCTCTGTACATCCCCACACATGTTGCATACAAAGGCCATTTTAGTGCATATTGGTTTGATGTTACTAACTCGAACAACTGTGCCACGCAGTGCCACATATTTGCCATACAAATTAGCTCTGAGGTTTTTCAGAGGGGTTAGTGGATCGTAATTGTACACCCTGAAAATGAATAACAAAAAGAGAAAAGTCATGAAGTTATAGTATATACCAACTGCAAACACTAAGTCTAAGGAGACAGATAACTGTGTAATTACCTAGCGTGTATGTATGGCACATCAACTATGGGGGTCTCCTCTAGCGGAAGACCTTCCTGCCCCTGTAGCTCCACTGCATGTTTCTCCAAGTCTTTGGTTAGCACCTGCAAACATAAGAGTACATTTGTGGGTTGTATAAATGAATGCACAGGATCCTATTTATCAAAGTGTTTGGAAATGTTTGTGTTGCTTAATGTGACCAGACAGTCTACAACTATATAAAAAGAACAAAGGTTTTTTGCAAAGACTGTTCCTGTTTCATACACTTTTGTAAATGGGGGCTATTTTATGGCTGGAGAAAAAAAAAGTAGAAACAAAGACCAATACTAGTCTTTCACTCAACAGCATGTACAGTTCCCACCATGCACCATGACCTAATAAACACCAAATCCTTGTTCTGTACAGACTCACACCCTAGCCCTTTACAGCAACTTTTTGGCTCTCAAACCCTGGCCTTCCAGTTGCTCTATGATGCTCACAGCCTGCCCCTCCAGCAGCTCTGTGGTGCTCACACCCTGCACCTCCAGCAACTCTGTGGTGCTCATGCCCTGCCCCTCCAGGAGCTTTATGGTACTCACACCCTGCCCCTCCAGCAGCTCTGTGGTGCTCACACCCTGCCCCTCCAGCAGCTCTGTGGTGCTCACACCCTGCCCCTCCAGCAGCTTTATGGTGCTCACACCCTGCCCCTCCAGCAGCTCTGTGGTGCTCACACCCTGCCCCACCAGCAGCTTTATGGTGCTCACACCCTGCCCCGCCAGCAGCTCTATGATGCAATGCAATGAAAATAACCGCAAACTAGAAATAATATTAAAATCTTGCAAGAAAAATGACTGGTAAGGAATGATCAGCTGCCATTGTCTTACTTATAGATAAGACAGGAGACTTTCACTGTCCTATAAAGAAATAAACAACATGATTTTGATGCATGGAGTGTGAATCTTACAAGTGCTGGAACATTCTATAATTAGAACATTGGCTTAAAACATAGAACTCTTACTCAGCAACAAGTAAGGATGTTGGTGAAATAGCAGGGTAGTATGTAAGCAACAATAGGCTTGTAGAGTATTGCTTATAGTTACTGGGGCAACCAGTTGTTATTTCTGGTGCAAATGCCGAGGTAGCTGTGAGAAAACCTCGTATTCTTTGTATTGTATGTCATGGTAAGGTACGGCTATACCCGTTGGGGGTTAGCCGCAAAAACAGAATAAAAGTTTGTTTAAAAAAACATAGAACGAAAACTTTTTCAGAATAGAAATCACAACTCTGCTGTCAGTGTGCTAGGATTAAAAACCGGTCATGCACCAACTAATGTACAAAAGAGTTTCAGTAGCTCAGTTGCTTTTTAAAAAGAAAAGAAAAATCTCCAATGGATGGAGAGCATTACATGTGAGCATTAGGAATGCCAGCTGTGGCCTATCCATCGGCCATTCCAATGTAAGTAGGTTATTTGCACACACCTGGTGTATTGCTAGCCCCATACAATCCAGTATTTTTTCAGGCATCTCTTTCAGTTCAGTGGACAGAGGAACAGATGTCGTAAGTTCATCATCTTCCAGGAGTTCCTTGTAATCCACAAGAATGCTTCCCTTTCTTTCAATTTCATCCTGTGGAAAACAATATGAGTATTTATGACTAATTTCTAAAGCACTAGAATAATACACTATATGGCCAAAGTTTGTGGACACCTTACCAGCACACCTACATTAAATGGCTGTATATGGATTGCCCTCCAAAGTCTAGGTGTTTCCAGTGAAGAGTACATTTAATGTTATAGCATACAAATACATGTTAGACAATTGTAGGCTTCCAACCTCATGACAACAGTTTGGGTAAGGCCCTTTCTGTTCTAGCATGACTGTGCCCCTGTTCACAGAGCCATCTCCATAAAAGACACAGTTGGATGAGTTTGGTGTGGAGGAAGTCGGAGGCCTGCACAGAGCCCTGACATCTATTCTACTAATCACGTTTGGCATTAATTGATACATCAGCTGCTATCCCAGGTCTTCTGGTTAAATATCAGTATCCGACCTCACAATTTATATTTTGTATAAATTCCCACTGACACCCCAAAATCTTGTGAAAAGCCTTCCCAGAAACCTAGATGCTTCTATGGCTGCAAAATGAGGCAACTTCATATTAATCCTCATGGTTTAGGAATAACATGCTCATATACACTTGTGCTCATAAGTTGACATACCCTGGCAGAATTTATGATTTCCTGGCCATTTTTCAGAGAATATGAATGATAACACGAAAACCTGTCAGAATTTATGGCACGATGAATGCAGTATGTTATCAAACGATACTGGAGGACAATTTGCATGCATCAGCCCGGAAGCTGCGCATGGGACGTACTTGGACATTCCAACATGACAATGATCCTAAACACAAGGCCAAGGCGACCTGTCATTGGCTACAGCAGAATAAAGTGAAGGTTCTGGAGTGGCCATCTCAGTCTCCTGACCTCAATATCATTGAGCCACTCTGGGGAGATCTCAAACGTGCAGTTCATGCAAGACAGCCCAAGAATTTACAGGACCTGGAGGCTTTTTGCCAGGAAGAATGGGCAGCTTTACCATCTGAGAAGATAAAGAGCCTCATCCACACATACCAAAAAAGACTTCAAACTGTCATTGACACACCATATTAAGAACTGGGGTATGTAAACTTTTGATCAGGGTCATTTGGGTAGTTTCTGTTGTCATTATGATTGAAAAAGAGTAAACACAGTTGATTGATAATAAATGGCTTCAAGCCAAACACTACCCATGAGTGACAGAAAGGTTTTCGTGTTATTATTCATATTCTCTGAAAAATGGCCAGGAAATCATAAATTCTGCCAGGTATGTAAACTTATGAGCACAACTGTAGGTGTGATGGTCAGGTATTCACAAACGTTTTGCCACAGAGTGTAAATATAGATATCCAGAATAGGGTTTTAAACAACAGTAAAAGGTGGACAGAAGTTCTAACTCTTCCTTACTCCATCTAAAACAAAAACAAAAAAGGTTTTGCCTGGAACCAGGCAAGCATTGTCTAAGCAGTGTAGCCGATAAGTCCTGTCAGAAAGAGTTGCATGCACACCATAAATAGAACCTCTGATTTTGGGAGTAAGGGTTCAAGAGATATGGGAAGGCATCTAAAGGAAACTATTCAATCTTGCTTTTTGCACTCAGTAACGAATATCCCGTGTAATGGGGGGTGCTCGCAGTGACTGCGGATGGCGCCGCCAGTATCAGCAAATGTGTATAGATGTCATCAGCACACTAAAAATCCTTTCGAGATCACAAAATATTTATTGAAGATTCGTGTAATAAAACAAGCGCTTTCGGGGCCGCACAGGGTCCCTTCATCAGGTCAATGCTAAGCCTGATGAAGGGACCCTGTGCGGCCCCCGAAAGCACTTGTTTTGTGACAAGAATCTTCAATAAATGAACATTTTGGGATCCTGAATGGATTTTTGGTGTGCAGGTGACATCTATACACATTTGCATCATCATAAAAGACTCATACACCGGTACACACTGAAAATGCTGTATAAAGCATTAGAAGTGTAAATACTTCTAGCTATCTGTGTTTTGTGCCGACATCTGAATAACAAAGAAGTCTGTGCATTCTCCAGTGTGTGATCATCTTACATTGCGAGCCATTTACAACTTGTACCCTGTGCCTGAGGCTCACAGAACACATTCTACAGAACAATAAAAGCCATTTCAGGTACCTTTAGGTCAAAAGTCCATGCTTTTATAAAATGACCCACAAAAGTGCTCTGCATATAATTAAAAGTTTATATAAAGGATATATCCATTGAAATATTTGGTAAAAGTTGGCTTGTATTAAAAAAAAAAGACGGTTTTTTAGAAAGATCTAACTTGAATGCGGCAGGAAAATGAGAGAGTGTAGATGTAAGATGTGTATAGTTCAATGGGCTCTGTATTAAAATAAAGCTTTTCAACTTACCTTGTCATAATATTCAATGTGCTTTGTGAAGAATCTTTCAAAGGCTTGAACTTTTAACACATACGGGGAACTGTCACTGTAAGCTGGCAAACACAGTGAAAGTGGATAAGAAATAATATATACAGTAAATAAAACATAACTGCCCAGTAATGGGTAGCTCCATTTTTAGGTTTATATATCTACGTTTACCACTGTGAATGCAATTACAACAGGTACGGCACTCTTTGGCCTCTGTTTGGTCCTCCTTGAAGTGGCCTCAATTGAGGATTGAAAAATGGTGCCAAGCGATACCAAGCTTTAGAAAAAAGGAGGGAGTATGGAGTGTTTCCATAAATGCATTGCAGCAGCATCATCATCCCCACTTGACCAGACCAAACACTCCATAGGGCAGGGCTGGCTACTCCCTTCTATTCATACAATGGTTGCCGACAGGTAGAAATACATGCAACCAGTAAATAAAAATGTAATGACTACACATGTAGTAGTAGTAGTGATGTAGGATACTGTATAGGTTCCAGTAACGGTGTGGGTAGTTCTGCCCATGCCTCCGCGCTGACCACTTCTAAAACAAGCACAAGGGACAGCTGAACAAATGCCCAATACTGAACTGGTTACAGCTTCAGTAATGGGGAATGATATCTGGGATATTGCTAATATTATTACGTTTTTCTAATTTTTCTGCTGCCAAGGTCTTGTGTCAAACTGTGAGAATGCGTGCAAGTGAGCATTCTTAATTATACTGCGTGCTTGTACATTGTGCATATAGCAATACACCTTTAAAGGAGAACTATGGGGTCAGTGTTTTTCCCCATAGTTCTCCTTAGGGTAACGGGAGGACACAAACTAGCGTCCTCCCGTTACCCTAAGCTCAGTATACCGCGAGCTACAGCTCGCGGAATACTGAGACGCCGCAGCCGGAGCGGATCCCGACTTAGACGTCGGGATCCGCCCAGCTGCATGAGTGACAGCTGGCTCTGCCTATCTAGAGGCAGAGCCAGCTGTACCCGCCCCCTCCCCGTCCGTTCTGCCAGTCAGCGCTGGCGGATCGGAGCGGGGAGAGGGGAACCCAGCCCCTCCCCCTGTCATGGCAGAGAGCCGTGACAGGATCGAGAGGTGAGCGAACCCGGTATGTGTTCGCTCACCTCCCGATCTACTGAGCCGACCTGTGACAGTCTTATTGTCACAGGTCGGCTAGAACTATGAGGTGAGTGGAAATCACTCATGTCATAGTTCTCCTTTAATCTTTAATGTTCCCTCTCTAAATGAATGTCAGTACAGTGTCATATAGGCTGGAGAGGAAGAGGGGGTATCCTTCCTTTGATCATTCGGCGGTGTGATTGTTCTGAATAGGAGATCATAGTATACCGAATTCAGAGCACAGTAGTAAAATAACGCAGCAAAAGAAGAAGAGAACTGACTCAAGTGCACTAACTGGTGGTTGACTAAAAATATTTTTTTTAAGAAACTTTGTCATTTTTAGTCCTGAACATAAATAGAATTACACAAAAATGTATACATTACTTTTACTGTACCTTAAAATACTGTAATTTGAAAAGCAATGCACGTACTATTTATGAACCACCCACACCTCTTACACAGCACAAAGGAAGGTATAACACTCCGAAGAGCTTTTAATTCTGCAGATTCTATGCCTATCCCCCACCCGATGTGATGTTTCACCCATGGCTGCACATTGTTCGCAGATCGTGGGTGGCTAGCTTGTTCTCTTCTTCCGCAATGCGTGGAAACTTACTGGATCTACATTTTTACCTCTGCCATCTGCTGAACGTTTCTCAGCTCTTCTCACTACTTTACGCTTTCCAATTTCACTTCAAAGTAGATGTGCTTCAAATTCCGCTTTACCCAGGTCTACCCTGACCATGTTTACCTGGCACCGGCCCTGACCTCCATTCTGTCTGACCATTCCTGCTTTATGATTCTGTGCTGCATTTCATTGCCTGAAAGTTGTCTGTCACCATCCAAGCACCCCTGAGAAATGTGGTCTGATGCTATTTCCTCTGGGCAAGACTTTACATAGTTTTGTGCTCAGTGAGAGCCCCCCACACACCCCTTCTGGCGACACAGATGTTAAACTGCACTCTGTGCCACCTTTTAGTTGCATCATTAGACTCTCTGAGAAAATAATCACACTGATGACAGCCATGAGGAATTCAGATCTCTTAAGGTGCCCATACACCTTACGATTATCGGACGATTTTCGCATGCGATCGACTTTTCGTCCGATAATCGTATGTGTGCATTGCAGTGTCCGACCGACATTACTGTACAAGCGTATGACTTTTGACGATCAAGCATGTTTGAAAACTTTGCTAGATCGTACGATTTTCGTAAGGTTGCTGGCGTTTCCGTCCGTCAAAAGTCGTACGATCTACACTGCGCTTGCGCTAACGAAAATACGGCAATATAAATTACCGCATTTCGTCCAGGTGCTTTTAGTTAATTACAGCTAAATTATTCTTGCGAACATCGGGGCAGGATGGAGCTCTCGTATGAAAATCGTACGTCTATTCGATCATCGGACAAAAGGTTTCATCCGATAATCGTAAGGTGTATGGGCACCTTTAGAAATATCTCCTCTACCACTCAACAAATTACAGGGAACGTGTACCCACCTCCAGCTGTCATCTGGACATATTTCAGGCAATTACACTCCCTGAACTAAAATTTCAAGCACAACTTTGACCCACTGCAAGGGTCATGAAAAATGTTACCCAGAGTTCTTCTTTATTAAAGAAAAAAGTGATTTTTTTAAACATTTTTTTTGGGGGGGAAAATGCAAGATAATGAAAGGGTGTTTTTATACATTCCCATAGAGCGGAAATTCACGGAATGTTTAGCAATGGGTACTTTTTTCATCAGTTCAAAAGGGCTTTATACTGCTAATAATCAGACATTTTCCATGCCCATACATTAGCAGTTATTGTTCCATTTATATAACAAGTGGCAATAAAAAGATTCAGCTGCACTAAATGTAAGCCTGATGCCTCTTATCGGGGATTTCATATACATTTACAAATCATGAATTTTCAAAGGTTCACCTTTTCAAACATGTAAAAACGTGCAATTATATGTAATTATTCTGAACACTGTTTGAGAATGCAGTAGGAGAGGAAATGTGTGTAAGGTGCACAGCTGGAATCCAGGAGAGAAAGTAGCAGGTAGAAGACTTTTGTCCAGTATTAGTTACATAACGAAGCCAGAGCAGAGAATATGCAGAGAAAGTAGGGCAGAGACTCCGGAAGACAGATCTGTGAAAACAGATTCACATAAGGAGACTGCTAGAGCTTTATTTAGCTGCGGCTCTGTAAAGATTTACGGTAACCTAAGATACTCAGTGGGATTATTTGGTATTTTTTCCTGTTGCTTTGTGTACCTAGAGAAAGGCTTCTATTAAAGCAAGAGCTGTACAGAAATTGCTCATTGTTGCTCACACAAAGGTAGCAGAGGAAGCCTCTCCCCAGAGTTCAACTTTGCCATATGTCACATCTTCCATGGAGGAAGGTGACCCATGAGAACAAAGGCACTCAGCTTTTTCATGTAAAGAAGGATAAAATGTATTCCCTGTGCTCAGGATAATGGGAATGGAAAGGTTTAGCCATTTACACATATATCAGAACTTTTGAAATCTGCCTATTTTCTTTATTTTTGTAGATCATGACAGAGGTTCATTGGACACCATCTTTTTCTACGGATCTGTCTCGTTTTAAATAAATTCTTTTTTTTCCTTTTTAAGAAGCACATTTTTAAAATGACATTCTTCTGTATATTTTTTTATTTCTACAGAGCAGAAACATTAGTCTTTTTTATACAGTCGAAATAAAAAAGAACCCTCTTTAGGGCCCATTCACACCACATCCAGATCATCTTCAGACCAGACCAGATTGTTTCTGGACCCAAAATGCATCCTAATGTATCCCTGTGCTATTTCTGGCCTCTGTTTACACCCGCGCAGTCTGTTCCAGACCAGACCAGACAAATACTGCACGTCTCATTTGTCTGCTCTGGACTGCACTGGAACTGCGGGCAGGTTCACGCTATTTTCCAGACCAGATCTGGAACATACTGCATTGCTGCGATTTTACAGCAATTTTGCTGTGTTTGGAGTTTTTCTTTTTTTTAGCTTAAAATGGTCTTACATGTGCGTTCCAGTGCATTTCTGATGCATTCCAGCCCATTCAAGACCAGACAAAATATGACAAGCAGTATTTTTCTGCGCTGGTGGGAACAGAGGCCAGAAATATCATAGGGATACATTAGGATGGATTTTGGGTCAGGAAACAGTCTGGTCTGGAGGTAATCTGGATGTGGTGTGAATGGGCTCTCATGTATCTTGCTAGTCTGCCCCACTGTCCCTCAAAATACCTGATTAATCTGATTGGATGCAGGCATTGTTCAGGTATTTTGAGAGCCAGCGGGGCCGACAATGCAAGATATTGAAGCCTGGCCCAGTGGAAGATTCCTCCATCCACACAGTTTAGCGTAGATGGAGGAATCTGTTGCACTTTTTTTATCTGACCATAGAAAACTTGCAGATAAGCTGGCTATACACCTATAGATGAAGTGGTAAAAAATGGCATAGGCTGTATCTGTGCCACAGACTGACAGTTCTTGATGTACAAATGGCCAAACAAGCATAAAGAAATTAAATTAAATTGATCTGCTCCTCAGAAATGAGGAACAGATCTTTGTTTTGTGATTTGGAAGTGGTGTCATGTAAATACCTTGGGAGTCCAGCATATATTCCACTGCACTCCTGACCGGTATAGCCCTTGGTATTGGGTGCTGAAATGATGATGGATGGTGCCACCCCAATCAACGCAGAAAGGAATTGTCACCAGCACACCGAAGAAACATGCCACAATAAAATCTACTTGTCAATAAAGACAGAATTTAAATGTATTCCTTCGCTATGCTGATAATTGGTTTCTGCATGTAAATACCTTGCACTCTACATTATAAATGAAAAAGAAATTAAGAGAAAGAATGCAAAAACATGAAAAGCCCACAGTTACAATAAAACTTAATTTAAATTTTAAAAAAAAAACAACAACTCAGGAATGGGACACAAAGCACGTACATTTCCTTTGCAATCTATTCACTGCTGAAAGTAATATAGAGAATTTTTCATTCCGTCCAATCTACTTTAGTATAATCAGCAGGCAACAGCCTCAATATCCAATAGAAGAAAATGCAGAGGTACAATACTAAGACATATACTATAATTAATGGGAGTCACAGGGTTAAGGGTATGACTAGCATCAAAATGCTTTTATATATTGCAGAGAGAAATTGTGCGTCTTCCCTGACTCCTGACACCAGTAATCATGAGCACAAATTGAAAAATGTTGCCCTGTTAAGGATAGTTGATGAAACACAAAGGAGGAACCCGGACAGTAGATGACTGATAGCACACTGGAAATAAAAGGAGTATAGAGTCAGCGTAAGCACTTTTCATTTATTGCTGCCGCATCAAGATTAGCATGGGAGTGCTCTTTGGTATAACGCTCATATGTTTTTATGTTGTACCTTCAGAGAAGTAAAGCTTCCAGCCTTTGTATGGAACATATTTATCCAGCGTAGTCTGGGTATATCGAGGTCTGGCAGGTGCTCCAGGAAAACCTATACAAATAATCAGTTGTATGAAAACAGAAGTTGATTCAGGTGGATTACTTAATCTCAAAGTAACGCGTTGAAAACTATGCTAGTAAAATGGCATAAAACCAATGTATGGGTTTCTGTGAACAAGACAATATTGACAATAGGATCCCCGTTCCCCTCCGTATTAAAAAAAAAGAAAAAGGCACAAAAGGATCTGCATGAAACAGGTCTGATCATAAATCCCCTTACCCCACATCAATGTGACTACTGAGGATAACTTAGAGATGGCTATACACAGAGCAAATGAAACATCCATAATTCACTCAGTGGGTGGCCCTATCTACCAGCTCTTGTCTGACATCCTTCAACTGAAAAATCAAAGGAGCCATGCAGAAGAAAATATCATCCAAACGGCACCTGCATCCAATTAGATGCAGGCACTGTTCACCCTCATTCACACTGTAATCGGCCCGCACGTACAGCTCCATGCAGGGCCGTACCAAGCAGCTCCCGGGAAGGACAAGTGATGCATGTGATTAGTACGTAGCCCCCGTCCTTCTCTAATGGACTATGCGGCCATACGCCCCCCTACGCTCACCTGCCCTGTCTGCGTTCGAGCCAGGAAACATGCACCCCTACGGACCTGCACTTGAGGTGAGCATAGGGGGGCGTACAGCCACGTAATCCCAAGGAGAAGGACGGGGGCTGCGTACAAATCACACGCAGCACCTGTCCTTCCCGGGAGCTGCTCGATACGGCCGTGCACGCAGCACGGAGCTGTACGTGCGGGCCGATTACAGTGTGAATGAGGGCTGAAGGGATTTTCACAGCCAGTCGGGCCAACATTCAAAATACAATAGCTGCAGCGTGTGATTGCTCCATCCAGAGATTGTTCCATCTGCTAATTTATTTATTTTTCAGTCCAAAAGCTGAAGGAAAAATGTTCCAGTGTATACCTAGCTTTAGGCTGCAATCACATCCCTGCATTTCCCCTCTACTAGAGTTTCACCACATTAAAGATGTGTTTGAGGTATGTGTTACACAAGTATGTGTTGCCATTTTTTTTGTATGGAAGATGCATTTTACTAGAAACGCACAAAAGAGGCAGCTCACAGTAACATTCTGACGTAGCTGCAAAACAAAAAACTGGGAAGTGGGAATGCACCTATGGTTTTTAGGGGGAAAAAAAAAAATCAGAAACATTTGTCTTGCTTACATGAAGGCCCATTTCCAGTGTTTCTGTTCAATGGTCCACTTTGCCCCCTCCCATTGCCTCTTTGCTTCCAGGGTCGGCCTCTCCATGTCCCTGAATACTGATTTCCTCCTCCACCACCTCTCCAGCCTCTTGATCCTCCTCTGCAGCTTTGGCTCATTCCATAGCATTAGAGATCCCTCATGCAGCAATACGGCTCTCTGTGAATTCAAAGGAGACAGGAGAAAAATGATTGTACTGAACATGTACTGAAGAGGGAACACTAGAAGCAGCTATATTGCCATACCTGATCACCCCTGTAACTCATACTGCATGGAATTTTTATTTCTCACCTGTCAAAGCAAGTCATACTCATCTAAGTCCCCTACCATTTCTGGGTGCGAGGGACCGCTAACCAAGCACTGCAAATTAGGGGTGCACCGATATATCGGCCGCCGTAACATATCGTCCAAAAATGGCACTTTTGGCTAAATGCCAAAAGTGCCATTTTCCTACCGATACATCGGCGCATCCGTGATTTATTTCCTCCCCGCTGGGCGCTGCTCTGTGTCCCAGCGGGGAGGAGAGAAAGTGACAGGCGGCCGAGCGCTGTGGGAGGCGAGAGCTGTGAGCGGCCGGTGTCTCTCCACCCACACTGCTCGGCCGCCTATCACAGTGCGGCAGAGCGGTGTGGGGGCGGAGACAGCGCTGTCACAGGAGGCTGGGCTCTCCTCTCGCACTGCTCACTCAGCCTCCTGTGACAGTGTGTGTCAGAGGGAGAGCAGGCTACATTCACTCAGCGATCGGTGATCGCTGAGTGTAGATAATTGAGGATATGGTATGGTTAATATAATCTCCTCCTGTTCATTCATAGTTGTTGTTATAGTAAACATACTATATTCTGAAGTTATCAATGAACAGGAACACTCATAGAGGATTCCTGTTCATTGATAACAGGGGATACAGAAAAAGAGATTGAGGACTCTGTGTTCTAAATCTCTTTTTCTATTTTAAAAGGGAAATATCAGGGGTCC